GCAGCGCGTCATGCGGAGCCCGGTCAGCGCCGGCGCAATCGCCCACTCCTCGGAGGACACTCACCAGTCCTCGGGGTCGCAGTCTCGGAAACCTTTGGCGAAGGGGTTGCTGGCGATCTTGAGCTGCGTGATCTGCGGAGAAGCAGGCACTGAGCAAGCAAGCGGCTCCAGCCCCTGCTCCAGGGGCCACCCGACCTCGGCAGGGGAGGAGGGGAGTGTTAGGAGACTCGGCCCCAATTAGGGCCCCTCTACTATCCGCGAACAAGAAGCAGCGGGCCCACAACTGCTCCCTCCCCAGTGGAGGCTGTGCCTCTCTCCTTCGACAGGGGTGCCAGGGAGCCCCCTTTATTGCTAAGGAATCCGTCTTTTCTGCCCCCAGTGGTTAGGATGGAGACCCTGTGCCCTCCCCCAGCTGGGATGGGAATGTGGTCACTTCCACCCCCCATGCCGCAGCAGTGGGGAGTGGAGGGGCGCCCTAGGAATCTGGGTAAACCGCTCATCAGGCCCCTGATGGGGAGTTTCCGGAATGGTTTGGTAAACAAACTTTCAGGCCACAGTGACAGTTGCCACACGAGAGGTCAGCCTGATAGGAGGCTGGTCCTGCCTGTGGCAGGGGGCTCCTCGGGGGATCGGCTGCTCGAGGACCTCAGGGGTGGGGCTCCATTGGGCTGGCTTTACAGGAACCGAACCTCTGTCCCCCAGGCAGCAACTGAAAATTGCACCCCTTCCCAGAAGTGTTGACTGTGCCAGGCCTCGGCCTCACCCGGTGGTTCTGGTAGGCTGTGACCGCGGTGAAGCGCGTCTCCTCAAACACAAAGGTTTTGAAGTTCTCCTCTGCGTATTTCTCACTGTCTTTGCGCGGGTCCACGTAGACCACGTGGAAGCGTGGCTGGTATCTATGCATGGAGTTGAGAATAATCTGGAAGACAAGGTGGCGAGGTCTGAGCTAGGAAACCAGCCGAGGTCCGGACAGGCAGCGAACTTCTAGACAACCCGGCAAAATCCTGAACTCCCTAAGTGAGGCCAGGCTGAGGGGCCAAGCAGAGCTGGGACCCTCTTTCCTTAGGTCCTGGAGAAGCAATGCCTGCTCTGTGTGGGGCAGCTACCAGCCTTTCCGCCTGGATTCCAGAGGCTGCGGCCCCCACCCCCCCACACATGGCCCCACCCTTTCCAGCTAAAAAGCTTCCAGCCAAAAACAGAAGTAGGGGAAGGGAAGAAGTATGACCCCTCTACCACCAGATCCTTAGGCCCTGACCGGAGGGTCTGCTCTCCGAGGCCTGTCCCTCATCCACACCCAAGCGGCCAAAGCTTTGCATCTGGCTCTGATAAGCAGAGATTCCGGGGGTCTGCGGGGGCAGAGGAGACGGGGGTGGGCCGGGGGTGTCGCTCACATGGCCGTTGTCGTCCAGCAGGTTGTTGGTCAGCTTGAGCTTGTCGAAGGACACAATTTGCTTCATCCACTGCGCACCCTTGGCTGGCGAGTCAGGGTGGTAGTGCACTCGGCCCGGCGTGGCAGGGTCTGCCTTCCCGGCCACCAGCCAGGACGAGCTGTGGAAGGCATACCTGGGGCCCCCCCGAGCAGGGGTCACAAAACGTTGGGGTGAGCCAAGAGGGCCTTGCTGAGGGAACCCCGCAGGTGCCTCTGATGAGGGTCCCATCTGTGAAACTGAGCTGCCGAGTGGGCTGGGAGCTTTTCAGGGGGGATTGTGAGAAAACAGAAACTCCCAGTCCTAAGACCCCAAGCCGGCAGGAAGCAACAAGAGGAAGGAGGCTGGGCTCCGGCGCCACATTTCGCAGCACACGGGTCACTCACTCTGGGCCTCCCAGCTGGCCTCCAGTGTTGCCAGTGCAGCGGAGCCTGGATTTGACCAGGCCGACAGCCTAGGGTGTGGGGGCGGACCGAGCTCTCCTTATTAATTGCTGTTAATTGTCCGGGCGGCTGAGGCCCGCCCTGCATAATCTCTCTGGGCCACCCCACCTTTCCTGCCGGCTCAGGGGCCCAGCTTCCAGGGGCTGGGGGAGGGACAAGGCGCCCACCTCATGGGAGAGGAAGACACGGAAAAAGGCAGGGGCCGTGCAAGTGTGTAGGTGTCTCCGGCCTGTGCTGGGGGAGCCCAGCCCCAGTGACCTCTGAGGGGAGCTCCCCAGAACTGCTGTGGGAAGTGTGTGTCTGGGGTCTAGGGGAGTGGGGAGGATCACATGTCGCTCAGGTCTTGGGCCACCCTGCCCATGCCCACCTCACCACGCAGGGACCCACTGCCTCCTCCCAGGCCAGCGAGGCGCTCACCGGTACCGCTTGTCGTCCACCGGCACAAAGTCCATTAGGAGCATGTAGTCGGCCATGGGATCCATACCAAACAGCTTCACTTGGAACGTGGGGAACATCCGCCTGGGGGGCAGCGGGACCTAGGGTCACCGCAGGTGGGGGAGGGCAGGGCCACTCACCTCGACCGGCCCAGCGCCCAGCGCGGGGCCTCCCTGCCTGGTCTCCTCTCCTGCTCCCCACTTAACCGGCCAGGCCCCTGCCCAGCCAGGGCCAGTGGGTCGGCAGGACAGCCCCTGGCCGTTCTCTGAAACACAAAAGTGGCTCACTCTGCGCCATCGCTGAGCCTCCACACCCCAACCTCGGCCTGTGTAGACCCCACCAAGCAACTACCCACGGTGATTCCAGCCACCCGGCCGGAGTTAGCCTCAGCCGGTGACCCCAGCGTTCCCAGGGATCCTCCGCAGCCCTCAGCAGAACCTCCTCCAGCTCGATCTAAGCAAATGGCCTAAGCGCCCGGCTCGAACAAAGTGAAAGCGAGGCCGTCTGTGCGATTCGGAGGAGTCCAGGTCGCCCTTTTGGCTGGGTCTGCGGCTGCTGCCCTACCCCTCTGGTGAGGCCAAACTTTGCAGCCCACAGCCCTGACTCTGAGGCCCTACCTCCTGCCCAGTGCGGGGTCTCCCCACCTTCCTCAGGGACACACGCAAGTTCCCAAGAGGCAGCTACTCAGGGCAGATGTGGCTCCTGCCTCCGTGGTCCCCCAACTCTCCCCTCCCCTGGAGTCTGACTTGGTGATGGTTCCAGGCTCTGGAAAGGATATTCTGAAGCTCCTGCATGGGCCGCTGGCCGTGGGCCGGCCCTGTCCTGATGCCATAGCAGTGCTGGCCGCTGGGCCCTGGAGGACAGTATGAGGCTTGGCCCCCACCTGCCCGTCCTACGGCCACCCCTCACAGGCAGCTCCTTGTGGGCAGTGGGCAGTTAGCAGATGCCACGGAGCCAGCCTCCTGGCCAGTCCTGCCTCACCCTCCCACCACCCTCTACAGGCAGGAGGGAGCTGCAAAATGCAGGCTTCTGGGGCAAGCCTGGTTGCACCAAGGCCCTTGCTGGGCTGGACTGGGCCAGAGGCTGGGGCACAGTCCTGTGGGCAGCGGGGTGGGGGAGGCCGTGTGCTCGGCAACAGCAGGAGAGCCTGGAGAAGACCCCTGACCTGGAGCTGGAGCCTCCCCCAGGGAGGACACCGCGGCAGGGAAAGAGAAACCACGAGAAGGCTCTACAAACAGGCCCTGAGATCCCCTCCTCTGTGCGGACTCGGAGCCGGTGTCTCCTGTGTACATTAGACACAGATCGGCACCCGCCATTGTCTGCTGGTCAAATCGGTTGCATCGCAAAACTTGTTCCCCTTCTCTCTGGGCCCTTAAAACAAACACAGGCCAATTGAAGGCGGCGGCCAGGGCGGCAGAGCCAGGCCCCACAGTCGCCCGAAACGCAGGCCTGAGAAAGCTGGGTAGCAACTTTACCGAGAACAGCAGTTTTTAAGGGGCTTAACTCTATGCTACAACGCTCCAGACCATGGACCGGCTGCACCTCTATCTATCCCGGATGGACTGAACTAGGGAACCAAAGCAAGGAGTTTCCTTTGAGAAGCTGGGATCCACAGGGAGCCGCCTGGTTGGCGAGGCCCCTGGGAGGGCCGGGTGAGCGGAGCCAGCCCGCACATTGGGCGGCCAGAGTCCTGGGACTGCGGCTGCACCCTGGTAGCCAGTCTCCCGGCCCTGGCCGTCCACTCGGCCCGTGCGCTTAG